AAACAATATACTTAATATTTAAAACTTACCTTTTGAGATTAACAAGAGGAAGGTACTCTCTACTGCTTCTTTTCAGCCTTTATAGGCATTCTTAACGAGTGCAGAATGGCAAAACAAAAATCAAAACTTTGAAAGCAATGGACAAAATAAAGCTATCATTATTTGTAGATGATACATGTAAAGCAAAATAATTTATTCAGATAAATTTTTAGGGTAATAAGCAAGCTTAGTAATTCTGCTAAATGCAAACATCAGTTCTATTTCTATAGACCAGTTGCTCTGAAATTATAATAAAACACGTTGCTGGGCTCCACCCCCAATTTTTTACTCAGAAGGAAGACTGGGCAATCTACTTCTGTAAAGATTTACCTCCTCGGAAACCCAGTGGGGGTCGCTATGAGTTGGACTAGACTTGATGGCATTGAGTTTGGTTTAGTTTTGGGGAGGTATTTGCTAACTAGAAGCCTGGCGGTTCAAACCCACCAGCCACTTCTCTTGGAAGGAAGGTTGGGTTATCTACTTTTGTAGAGATGTTGTTGTTGTTATGTGCTGTTGAGTCGGACCCAACTCATAGCGACCCCTCCTTGAGTTTCCAAGGTGGTTATCACTACAGAACTAAACTCACTATATACATCTGAATGGCTATAATCAAAACATGGTGGTTAATTAGGCATTGGTGAGAATGCTGAGCAATAGGAATACTCATATTGTATTGGAAGACATGCCTAATTCTATGACCCATCAAAGGCACCCTGGTGGCACTGTGATTAAGCACTGGGCTGCTAACAGAAAGGGTGACAGTTTGAACCCACCAGCCGTTCCTCAGGAGAAAGATGAGGTAGTCTCCTGCCAGATTACAGCCTTGGAAACCCTATGGGGGTAGTTTTACTCTGTCCTACAGATGGCTGGTGGTTCAAACCCACCAGCCACTCCTCGGAAGGAAGGTTGGGCAATCCTACTTCCGTAGTGATACTGCCTCGGAAACCCAAGGAGGGGTCGCTATGAGTTGGGTTTGACTTGACGGCACATAACAACAACAACAACAGTGTCACTATGAGTCAGAATTGATTTGACAGGACTCAACATGACCCATATCTTTTAGTCTTAAGTATATAATACATCCAAAGAAATATGTAAATATGTGAACTAGGAGATAAATTACAAGAATGTTCACAGTAGCAGTATTTGTAATAGCCTCAAATTAGAAACAACCTATTTGTATAGAGCAATAGAAAGCATATATATTATATAGAGCATATATACATTGTGATATAGCCATAAAACGGAATGCTATACACTGACAATAAAGAATGAATTACATGGCTGAAACATGAAATAACATGCTGTGTAAAATAACCCTGCCCCCCTCCAAAGCAGGTGGTGTAACTCTAGACCAAGGAAATAAGTGGTTGCCATGAAAGCAGGTGTCATAATGCCTTGATAGGGAGGGAAGGGTTCCTGACCAGGAAGGGGAACTTGTAGAGCTTCTAAGGTGTTGACAATGTTTTCTTGACCTGGGTGGTGTTTGCTCTATGATGTTCATGTTACAATTGTTTTATACACTTTTCATAATAAAAGAATCATAGATTCCAATAAGCCATTAGCCATACATCTTAGACTAGAAATGACTCAGAATGTGATGTCAGAATAGTTTTTCCATTATTGAAAAACAGGGTAAAACTGCTACAGATACTGGAGGAGGAAGGGGCTCCAGTAAGTTGTGATGGGTATTTTAGATTCTACCTGCATCCCTGAGGAGTGGCATTCTAAAGCTAGGGAAGGGAGAGGAGGCATATGGAAAGAAGGAACTGCTAAAGTCCCATGAATCCTGCCTTTTCTCATCTCCTGGCCTTCCTGCCTAGTCTGCTTTTCCTTTTGTCCCCTCCCTTAGCTCCTTAAGACTAGAGGCCCCACCTCTTTCAGCAGCCCCAGCCCCTGCCATCTTCTAAGAGCTGCCCATCCCCATATAGTCAGGGTCACGCTGCATCTCTCTCTACTCTCTACCCTGCAGACCGAACTCACCTTCTATAGACAAGTGACTCTGACATTACAGGCTGCCTGGCTGAGATCTGGCACTCAAGTCATTCAGGCTGGAAATAAACGAGAACACGCTGCAGGAGCCTCCCCATAGAGGAGAGGGGAGAGCTCTGGGTGGGGCTTTCTTTTCCAGAGGTTCCTCCCTTCAGTGGCCTTCAAGAAGGGGAGCAACAAAAGAAGTGTTTGCTCTGACTTGGAATTCAGCTTATGTTCCTGTACTTACTCATCCCGTCTGCCCTCATCCCAGAAAACTGAGTAGAACAGATATTATCAGCCCCATTTTACAAGTTAGAAAGCTCAGACCCTGAGCTCAAGAGTCACAGAAGCTGAGCTGGACTGCAAACCTTGGTGTCTGGAGCCCAGGCTCTACCTATAGGCATGAGGTGGGTACTCAAGAATCACTTGCTTAACAAAGTTAGCCTGTCTCCCCAGACCCAGGAAGACTCAAATACTGTCCTCAAGCCCATAAAGAAAGGGTCCATTCATCCCAAGAGCAGCTAAACCAGCTCATCCATTTATTTGACATCTGGTAGCGTAGTACCTAAGGCACCTGACTGCTAACCAGAAGGCTGGCGGTTCAAATCCACCAGCCACCCCTCGGAAGGGAGGTTGGGTAATCTCTTCTGTAATGATACTGCCTCGGAAATCCAAGGAGGGGTTGCTATGAGTTGGGTTCGACTTGACGGCAGTACACCAACAAAAGAAATACACAAAGTTTCCAAAACCTTGTTTTGGGGAAACTTGGGAAAGGACCAGAAGACATGAAGTAAGTATTTTGGAGTAAGATCGACTGTTGGCCAGAGTGCTCAAGAGCCAAGGCATGGGGGAGCTCACCCCCATGCAAAAAGCTGTTCCTGCAGCTCAGAGCCCTAACCCCTTATGGAGGATGGCTATCCTTCTGCCCCCCTCCCCCACCTTCTCCTCTCTGGCTCAGCTGGCGCTGAGTCAGTGATGTGAAACTGAGCAAGTGTGTGGGAAGTACCTGCTGGGAGCGCTCAGCAGCTACTGAGCTGCACTGGCCTGGCTGTCTTTTTGGGGTGTGTAGTAGAGTTGGGGGAAGAGAGTGTCAAGGGTCATCCTGAACTCAGGCCCAGCACTGTCTGGGGACACACACAGAGGTACACTTCCCTTTGGAGGTCTTGAAGACATTCACATTCACTGATTTGGCATAATTTATCAAGCCCCTTTCAGCTAAGGAAACTCCTCTGGAAATGGTGGTACCACCTCTGCCTGGCAATGTTCCTCTCTCTCCAAATCCCTGACCTGTGGCCTACTGTGTATAATGGTGGATTGCCCCTGGACAGAGATCCCTAAACAAAACTGTCCTTGCACAATCCTATTCCTGGAACTCATACTGAATCTACACCGGCCCTCCAAAGTAGGTGCAGTCTGGCCTTGACTTGAGTGCTGAAGGACTGAAAGGGCATAGCCTAGACCCAGAGTACCTCCCAAAGGATGGAAAACCTCCCTCTGCAGGCTCTATCAAAATCTAAGAGGCAAGGGGAAAAGTCGAGGAAGAGATCTCAGCTTCCTTCTGAGACTGGTTTGTCTACTGACTTAGTCTTTTTTTTGAGTCCCAGTCTGAAGGCCTGTATTGCCCATAAAGAAGAGGCCCATGCATCCCAAGAGCAGCTAAACCAGCTCACCCATTTATTTGACTGAGAACATTAAGAAGGACAACAAAATTAAACAATCTTTAATAAAATTCCTATAGAAAACTCAGTCACAGGGGAAATACTCAGTTCTTTCCCATGTCATTGAGAAATGAGAGCTTCCAATATTCTTTGGAGAATAAGCAGTAGTTTTGCTGGATGTTGCCAGAGCATTCATTTACACATTGAAACCAGTAGTTCCTATTGCACATATTAACATTACTTGCCATCTAGCACCCTACATGAATGGTACCTCAACAAATAAATTAAAGAACCCTACGTGGCATAAAACCATTCAATTTGAACTAATATCCTTGAAATAAATCACATTATTACAAGTTTTAATAAATACAGTAAGAACCTCTTGCATTTTAATAAAATACTGGAGTTAAGATCTGCAGTTTGTTTCATAAATAGGTTCCTTTTCATTTGCTTTCTTGAATACATCTGCTCAAGTATTATGCTCTATGAAGTGAACATTTTCATAGATACCATGTAAAAACTGTTATTAATATGTGCCTCATTACAGAAGCAGCTGGAAGAACTGGATCACACAGTTAACTGAAACATAACTTAAGGAAAAGCTGGTTTTGGTTTTTTTTTGTAAAACTTTAAAACTCAGACTGAAGAAAACCAAAGAAATATCTTTTTGTCACAGAACTCCCATTAAAAATTTTATAAATATATATGCCTCAACAGTAGATTTTCAGCAAGTCTGGTTGGAATGATGCTATCATAGTAGATAAATATTAACAAAAATTAAGAAGTTTCCACAGGTTTAAAAGGTTTCTTTCAAAAAATAATCATAATTTCAAATTATATCATAATTTGTAATTTACACAATTTAAAAAGGGAAGAAAAATACATTTCTTTTAAACCTTGTTTGGAAGAACAGCCACCAACCCCAGGTGTGGATAAGGTGCCTGAGTGGTAACACTTGGTCACAATATTGAAAAGAAGTATTTACACCTTTCGTAAAAGTACCAAACACTTAAAAAAAAAGAAAAAGAAAAAGAAAGAAAGCGGGAAAAAATCTAGTAGCATTCCTTGGCGTGCAAAGTCAGCAGGAAGTGATTATCCATAATGTTGACAGTTTTCATGAGGAGTCTCAATCAAGCATTCAAAAAAGCAGGGGTGGTCATCAGGCATTGTTCAGATTAGGTTCTATGGAATGTCTTGTCCTTGTTTTAACTGAATTCCAGTATTTCATTCCCTTTATAATATCTCTGGCAGGATCATGTTCAATTTAGTGCAAGTGCAAAATGAAAACTAAATGAAACCAACAAATACATTATGAACAAAGGCTGATCGTTATGATCTGTAGTCTTTCCGAACCGTGTGGGCCATCCAGTTCACTTTAGTAGTCCAGCTTTCCCTGAGCGCCTCATCAAATTTTTGCTTGAATTGTTTGAGTGCTTCTTCTTCACTCTTCCCTAAGGCAAGAGAATCCTACAAATGAAGGGAAAATGTGATTTTATACATGCTTAATAGATGTGCAAGTGTTACTATACACAGATGGCTCAGCCTTGCCTCCCAGCTTCCCATCAGGCAGTGTGCATATGTTCTTACTTAACACCAAGGTAGGTAACTTCTGCCAAAAGGTTTTTGAAAATGAAATAAATTTATAACTACCGCGAAACACCTACTTAGGTGTTTGCTGCTCGGAATGATCCGAATATAGTGACTTAAGAACCCTAAAACACTGGCAAATCAAAAAGCAGGTTGTTGAAAAGCTAGGTGCCAACCAGCTGCTAATCCCTGTTTTTCCAGTGTGTGAGTACAAAGGCTGCTGACCAATACTAGATTTCTTTATGCTCCTTCTACCGATGGGAAATTATCTGGGTTTCAAGGTCCTCTTTCAAAACTGCTCCTTCCTATGAACTTCCCAGATTCCTTTCCTCCGTGGTGACAACAGACTCTGAGGAAATGACTTTGTTCTACTCACTTTGGGCATTTGAATGAAACAGGCAGCTAGAGCTGCCCACAGCACCCAACACATATAAGGGGTTTATACCTTGAGATACTGTATATCCTTGACTGACGTGAGCTCAGGAAGTCCTGCAGTCAACATCAGTGCAAACAGTGTGATAAAGAGATTCCCATGCCGTCGTAAAATCAGATATGCATCCTCACAACACTGGCGGAACCTTTAGTTAATACAGCAAATCACATGAACATAGTAAGAAAACAAGAGGGACATATCTAGACTTTCTGTTGAAAAGCTAGCAAAACTCTACTGAGCTAAAGGTTCATTTCTGGTTTTTACTTCTTTGAGAACTGTCCCAAATCTAAAATACATCAAATAATTCAGGCTCTCTATAATCATACCTCTTTTTCAAACAAAATTAAACTTCTGTGATAAAAGACAATATACACTTAGGTTTTTTATTTATGAGATACAAGAACTGATAATCAAATCAGTGAAGACTGTAATCCTGGCTGATTTCTGAGTGTATGTCTAGAATTTAGGGTCAGACCACAGAGACTATTTTCTTTAATGAACTACCCCCCCCCAATCAATGTCAGTGCTTTTGCACTGACTGTCATCCTTCGTTTCATCTCTCTTCTCCTCATGATGGTCCTTCAAAAGGACCATCCAATCATATCCCCCTTATATTGTCAAAGACAAAACTGGACACAGACAGATATATTCGCAAAAACCGTGACAAATTTAGAATTGAAAATAGTAATCATCTACTAAGTATATGGTATGTATCAGCCACATCATATACATATCTCTAATCATTATAATAATTATTTTTCTCATTAAGATGAAGAATCAAAGGCAAAAAAGACTAGTAATGTGCTTGGAAACATACAGGTAGGGAGACATAGATCAGAGATTACAAAGTCTCTCTCCCCATTCCACTCCTCACCCCCTGAACCCTGGCTCCCTTTCTATTCCATGCAAAATGACAGAAACATGCCTGTTATCTCAGTATCTCACCATCAAAAGACTTAAAAGTTTCAGATAATTTTCTCAAACAGGCAAAAGGTACAGTACTTTTAGAATAAAACACAGTAATTTATTCCCAATTTCTAGCACTCTTGGTTTCTCCTCACTGCACATTCCTGAAACAGCACATGGATCTGACAGGCAAACTTTCCCCAAGTTCTCGTATTATTAGCAGATTGTACAACCCTCACATCCAAATAAACAGCAGCAGAGGAAATGCTAATCTAGCTGGTCAGATGAAAAAGTCGTAGATGAGTTTAGCCTTGACACAGGGCAATACTCACCGGCCAAACTTTTCCGTGTTTCCTGTTTTTCCTTGTTGAATGACATGAATGAAATCATAGGTAAGAATAAAAGGCACTCGTTCCCTTTTAATACCAAATTTAGACTTGAAGTTTCCAAGAATATGTCCAAAGTCAATGTGGAAGAGCTGGAAAATAAATAAGATTTCATTTCCATTGTTTTTCTAATGTGTTGCAAATAGAAGGGCAAGCTCTCAGCAGTTTTACAGGCTTATGTCCATATCTTATGTTCACCCTCACCTAAGCCCTTCTCTCTCATTTCACAGCCCATGGGTCACTCGGGAAAAGAGTGTTTCTAACACTCATAGGTCTTTTATAATGAACAATAACCCTAAAATTAAACTGCACATACGCAATAGGACAGGGGAATCTTAAATATATATATATATATATATATATATATATAT